TTTCGGTCTTTGCAAAAAATAGGACGAAATTTTGAAAAAATCCGAAGTTTCGATAAATTCAGAAATTTGTAAAAAAAAAAGCTTAAAAGGCCGGGAAAAGTTGAAAAATTTAAAACTCGAAGCATAGAATCAAGTTTTTTCTCTATTTTGTTCATTTTACAAACATTTTTATGGTTTTTATATCTCAACGAATCCGAGAAAGCAACCAAAATTCCAAAGAAAAAAGAACAGTTGCTTTTTTCCAAATTCATAATTTATTACTGTAAAATTTTCACCAGTAATTTACTCGCTGGTAACTGTGAGCCAGGAAGCGAACATGTGACTGACATCCAGACAGATAATGAATGTGATTCAAGGAAGTTCTTTCCCTCCTCCCTCATACCCTCCCCCTCGTATGCTCGCTCACTCCTCGGTGATTGACAGGAAAGGTTTCGAATTTCACAACCGGTCAATTTCCCCTCTCCCAACCCCTTCCACTGGTCTGCTTCGGCACGAAATTGATCGTAATATTTGATATCAATGCGACGGCAACGATCTGATGATCCATCCTAGTGATAATCGTAGTGGCCGTTGGCCCGCTCCGATGCTCGCCAATTCAAGGTCAATTTCATCAACATCTCAACCAACATACACTACTTTTTCATCATTATTTTTCTTTAAACACGTATAATCCTATGAGTTTTTAACCATTCTCAAGGTCATCCTGACTGTCGGCTCTCGATGTTACTGAGGGGCACATAGGACAAAGTTCTCGATGCCGGCGATTTGTAGCTATGTCAGAGTCTTCGCTGCTACCGAGGTGTAAGGGGACAAAATTCTCAGTATTACTGCGATGAATCTAGGCAATCGGTCGAGAGGAGAAGGAACGTTAAAATCGCCGGTCCGCTAAACTAGCAATTTTACGCTTCCTGAAAGCAAATGAGGTTGGTTCTCAAGCCACTGTAGGCGCCATTACCCCAGTTTCTTTGGTCATTTCAGCAAGTTCATCGTAAAACTTCCGAAATTCAAAGACGATGAGGGAAGACCAGTCAATCAAAACAGTGGCGTTAAGAGCATATACGGGCAACTACTAGCAGCAGTTCTTGCTGCTCCAGCGGATAAGTATTTTTGGAAGTAAAGGTAACATTCCTGGGATTTTAAGCGGATCATGGAAGGGACTAGTTTTCCGAGTACCATAACTCAGTAGGCAGAGGGGGGGGGG